ACCTTTGGCTAGGCGTGTTACGCCTTCACTCCCGCAGTTTGTCAATTTTTTACAGCTTTTTATCAACCTACCTTACTCTTCACCACCAACCCATCCAACCTATCTCTTTCATAACAATACCGCTCCTCACAACAACACTATTTCTCACAACTTCACAATTCATAACGACCTCACCTCAAATACATTACCACAATAAAGGGAAACATGGCCACCCCTTTCCCTTCCCCGGAAGCCGCTGACGCCCCCGAATCCCTCATCGGTCTTCCCCGGACGCCGCGCCCGCTAACGGCGCTTCCTCCGCCTCCCCTGTCACTCCCGGTTCCGCCGCCAGTGACAACATCGCCACCGCCATTGCTGCTGCTCTGTCCGCTTTACCTACGACTCCCGGCCCCGCCAACACCGACGCCTCTGGTTCCTAGTCCCCTGACAACAGCGGCGAGAGTCCAGTTGTCCCTGTCCCTGCCAACACGCCTGTTAATTCCCCTCGATCGCCAAGGCCCGATGCTCTTCCTGTGACGCCAGGTCTCGACTCTCACCGCACCCATCGAACCTGGAAGCCTCTACATAGCAAAGTAAACAAGTGTGATTCTTGCGATAGCCATTCCCCAGGCGTTCTCCAGGAGTGCTGTGGCAAGGGATGCACTGTCCGGTTGTGCGAGGGCTGCGCCAGGGGCAATATTTGGCACACCCAGCACCGCACACATTTCATCGATGCCAAAAAATGTGACTGGCAGATCAGAAAGCCCTCGCCGAAGCCGAGGACCTCTCTGCGTGCTAGACAGGTCCGACGTCGTGTGGGAAGGGGAAGCCCGCCTGCCTCCCGGAAGCGTGTACGTTTTGTTGGTCTGGAGGACGACGATGAGGCTGAGAAGGGCAACCGTCCCGCGAAGCGGCCTCAGGCTGAGCCTCCTCGACAACTGGCCCCCAAGCCTGTCGCCCAAATGGGCCAAGTCTACGAGCCGTTGAGCACTGGTCGCACCCCGTTGCCGAGCATGCATCCTCCTCGATGTACCGCCGGGCCCTCTCTGTTGCGCAATTCAGACTCTTACACGCGTGGGGCAGGTCCACAGGTGTATTGACAGGCCGCCGAGACTACCAGGCCCGTGAACACAGCTGTGACAGGCCTCGAACGCCGCGAGACAGAGGGATTCAGTTTCCAGCCTCCTCCCGGGGCATACCACCAGCTCCAGAGATCCCAGGAGATGGGAACAAGGCAAGCCGACACATACATGACCGGTCCCCAGAGAGACTTCCAGCCTGGAAGAACCTCCTCCCACCCAGTGCCTGTGCCTAGCAACAACTGGCCTACTTCCTTCTCCCCCGAGGAGATCCGTCAGGTCCAGACTATCTACAGCATCACCTTTGGTGCCACCTACACAGGCAATATTGTGAGTTTTTACCGCCGCCCCGTCCCCCAGCAACTTATTACCGCATCGATTCGCTCCTCCGCCTCTCCAGGTATGCCCCCGTCCAACACCTTCGGCCCACAACACCATCAGAACGTAGGAACTGCTTCCCGACTCCTGGCCCCCATCTTCAGCACGGGCTACGGGCACCGCTCATCTGACAATAACGAAAAGGTAAGTCAAAACCCCGGTCACTCCATACACTTCCCACACTCTGCTCCATCCCCAAATATCACCCTCACAACGAGCTCACACCTTTTCAATCCCAGATGACCCTCGAGGATGAGCGACTCTGGAACCTGCTCCACAGCGCCTGGCTTCACAATCACGACGTCTCCGTCATACGCCAATTCAAGGGAGATTTGCTCCCTCTCAGCCAGTTCTGGGACGCGTTCAACCTCTATTGCTCGCAGAACAACATCCAGCATGCTCACCGCGCCACCAACTGGTTCGTCGACCAGAAGTGGCATCTTGATATCAAGGAGAGAGATGCTCGCCAAGCGGAGCGGAAGAAGGAGCACGAGCAGCGGATGGAAGAGATGGGGGGCCAGTGGCAGGGCCCTCCCTACTAAGCCAACAAACACCAACTTTGGGGGAAGACCAAGTGGTCTGAAAGGGGGGAAGGGGTCTGGAAGCTCATGGGGAGAATTCGAGATAGGAGGGAG